GGGAAAATGAGGGGTGAAACGAAATCCGCCCCATTGTCAGGGAAGTTTCTCAATCTCGCTGGACCGGACTGGCCTTTTATCACGTCGGTAATTAACTGGCTAACAATTTTTCCCGGCTACGTCGCTTCATTTAAACTTTATTAATGAAGAGACCACGCCTCATTACGCCGCCGCGCCGCGCCGCCCTTAACGATCAACGACCATCTAATCCCGCCGAGATTACCGTGTTTACCGGGATTCCCTCCACGGAAATCCGCTCGTATCGCTCTAACTCCGTTCGCAGTCTTCTGTCCATCGTTCTATCTGCATACCCTGCGCTCTGGATCGTGCATTAGGCCTGGCCGGACCTTTCGCGACCCGTTGACCTCGGCGAAGGGGTCACTTCCTCGCGACCCTCGTTATCAAAGTTCGCTATCCGTCCCAGATTAATCCTGTGTTAAATACCGAGATATTTACCGTTATAATTTATCGGGTCGTTCGGAAAGTTGCCTCCTTCTTCAAAAAAAAAATGTTCGCTTCGCAAAGGTGTTAAAAAAAGCACACGAATCGGTTCATATTTTGCCAACGCAAAAACCACACGACTTCTGAGAAACATTAAATTTCAAAGCTACCAGTAAAATGTCAAACAGTTTCTTTATATGTTGTAAAATGTGAAAAGATACTTAAAAGCACTTTATTCAGAATTACAAATTCTACTCCAGAACATTCGCGTATCCAGTAAAATAAATGATGGTGATATATTACAAAACTACAGAGATACAGAAAATATGGTGTTGGTGAAATCCCGAGGTGGCAACCTCACGGTTCGGTTTCTACTTTTGAACTGACTATCGTCTGAGCCGACCTGGGCTTCTATCGCCAACGGCTCACCCTCACAAAAGGGCCATAAAACAGTTCGATGGGTCATCGTTGAAATTCCAACATTATATTTTTAATTCCGAACGTTGAAACACGTTGTAGAATATAAAATCGAAAATTTCTTTTAACAATAAAACTTCGATTATCCGAATGAATTCGTTGCTAATTAAACACGTTTCTCGCGTAAACAGAGCAATCTAATTCACGCGCAGCGCTGTTTGTCGTAGAAATTATTAGTTCAGTTAACAAAGGCACCGCTGGATTAATATTTTAAGCAACGCGGAACGAAATTAGGCCAACGTGTATCTCAATATTTAATTAGCGTACTTGGGCATGCAGAAGAAATCGACGATAATCCACGGTCAAACTTCGGAGTCAGTTTTAGGAGCTTTCGGGATTTATCAGGGGTTCCGATAAATCAGCATTAATTCAGTGGCTTCATAACCAGCTAGGCACAGAGGCGGCCGAACGGGGGCCCCGGTTTCATTGAATGGCCGCGGAAGTGCGGCAGCAGCAGCGGCGTGAAAGCAGCGTGATTTATATTGCACCAGAGCCGGTTATTGCACCGGTATCTCCCCGGTTGATGCACCCAGAAAAATCGTTCGAAAAGTTTCGGCGAACCCTTTCCGCGGTCTTAATGAAAGAAATCGAGAAAATAGGAGGTAGCTCGAAAATGGTTTCGTGTCCATCGACGCCCACGCCTCGATTTCTCCGGGCAGACGAAGGGAAAGATCCTTGAGGGGAGGATGTCCTCGATCGTGATTCATCGTCGCAGTTCTACCCGCGTGTTTCGTTCGGCCCGATTCATCAGGCTGTCCGAGCCCAAACGTTTTTCAGTTCGTTTCGCCCGTTAATGTAATATTCGGTATTTTTTCTCGCAGCCCTTCGGCGTCGCTCGGAACGAGAAAATAAATAAATGTCGAGGGAGAACGTTTGCGCGCCACTAATTCCCGCGTCACCGACGTTTTTCCCGGCGAATCGGGCCGCGGGGTCGGGGGATGCGCGGCGCGGCGGTGGCTGGCATCCCAACCCCTCGACCGGGCAGAAAAATCGAGACAATCCGTGGTAGCTCGGAACGAGTCAAAAAGCTCGCCAAATAGCGGGGGGGACGTCTCAGACGATGCTGGAAACGAAGTGTGTATTTAACAGCTCGATAAATTTGCGACCAAATACGCTGAGTAATTCGGACTGCGTTTAACGGGGCGTTAAATTCGTACTCGCTTCCATCGTGTAACAATTATTCGTTTCAAGGAATAATAACGCGAACGAGAACGTTAATGAAATAAAGTGACGAACGCACTGCTGCGTAGTCTTTGCACCTCGGCGATAACAACAACAACGACCTTTCGCATTAAATTACTGTTGTAAATGATTTCAGGATACGTAAATGAAAGTCAGTGCAATCTTCTCGAAGCTCGGAGTTCGAATTTGAAGATCGCCTTAAACTCGAAAGTGAAAAATACAGATGAGTGGGTTAGAATTATAGTGGCGTAAGTCACATTTTTTCCTCGCTGCGAGAAATAAGGTGTGTTATTGTTTATAAATGTCTATTGTTTACCGACCAATTGTATTGTTAAGATAATTTATTTATCTTAATAATTTATATCATATAAATTTAATTATTTATATTTAATATGTTTATGTAATATATATAAATATATAATGTATAATAATATGTATACATATATAATGCATGATATAAATGGTTAAGATAAATATATCAATGAAAAAAAATCCGGAAAGTTCACGTTTCGTGACTTGTTCAATACTTCGAACGCGGCTCTAATCCGTCCCGACCTTTTGCCGAAGCCACGTGCTGCGGGCTCTCGAGCTTCGCGCCATCGCCTTTCATTGGTCACTGTTTTTCGTTAATAACTCATAAACAAAGCCGCAGATCGCGTTTTCGCTAAGGAAAAAGTTGCTTCAAATGACCTCAGGAACCCCTTATTTCTCGGAAACACGATAATTTTGGGACATAATAAATATATTATAATAAATATATAATGTATATATATATATAATCTTTATAATTTATTTCATTCGCCTTTTCGGCACGTGCGGATCACATTTAAAGACGTAAGTGAACATTTTCGAAAATGTGACATACGCCGCCATGACTCTAATCCACTCATATATTTCCACGAGTAAATAAACAAATGTTTTTGGTGTCTGAAGAATGTATCGAGGTTACGGGGGAGTACACCGATAAGCAGGAATAATGTTACAGCGTTTTGCAGCCCCTTTCCCTGTACACATCGTGAACTTGTTGACCCACCCTGCCACGCTGGAGTAGCGTTGCCTCGAGTTCAGCCGAAAATCGGGCGACTTCGAAGAAAATACAGGATCAACCTCGTGACCCGGTTACAGGGATGCCGGTCGTGGCAGTCAGCTGTTCGGAAATGTTCATATCGGAATTATATGGGGCGCAGGTGCACGTGCGTTCGTAAATGATATTTAAATAATTCCATGTCCGAACAGAATTCAACGAATGATTCGCACAGCTGATTTAATAATAAATGATCGCGTTAAGGAACGTAAAGAAAGGATTTGTTTATTAGAGAAATATGAAAAATATTATCAATAAGAAACTCATCCATTTAGTTGAGGATGCATTTGCCGAGACATTTGAAGAAGCTGAGCATTTAACCCTTTGCACTCGAACCCATTTCAACTGTAAATCTAAAATAATTTTTCTGACTTGTATTACTTTCATTTTACACGACAAAGTGCATTTTATGCGTACGAAATCGAGTCTTGTGATTCATGCAACAGCTACGCTTCCGGTAATGTTTAAAATCTAAACTTTGATAATATAAAAATTATCTTGGAAGGTGATATAACAATTTTTTTTTGCGATGTCTCAGAGTCACCACTCGAGTGCAAAGGGTTAAAGACTCATTTGACCCGTGTATGACCGACGTGACAATGGACGTGCCAAGTGTTGGAACGAGGGACGGGCGAACGGGCTAAGCGAACGTCAACACTGTCACGCGTTTCTGTATGGTTTCACGGGGTTCGTTAGCGTCCCTTAAAAAAGCCACGGTTTTACGGGGATCGAAAAGAGCCTGGGAATACAGCCGACAACAAAATCTAAACAGTTCATCGGCAGCCAATTTCGCGGACGTCAATATTTACCCCAAATATCGGGCCGTTGCAGCTACATGGATCGACCTGTACATTGTACACCGAATCGAAAGTGTTGCCTATCGTAGCTTCGCATCGTCGCACCGCGGAGCTGTTACGTGACACGGTCAACACCGATATTTACCGTGCAGACGGGGTTAATTGACAATCCCTGCGATACGCACCGTGTGTGCGCTGCGCAATAACAACCCCTTGCCCGTCGAGTTTTCGAACGGGCGACAATAATAATATCAATGGCGGCGAGAAGCCCTTATCGCGCTGCCGAATGCGGCGCGGTATTTCGCCACGTGTCACGAAAGATCACGCCTCGCGCATATCCGAATTGGGCAACGATCGATTGTTCTTTAACCCTCGCAGGGCGCTGGTCGCGTCAATTTTGACCCACGGGACTCAAGTCGTTCGCTTAATCGCTCGGTTCTCGCCGGTTAAATAAAATAAATTGCTGTTGCAGTAGGAACAACGAAACGGTTAATAAGTCTGCAAAAAGTATCTTGAAAAATATGTTTTGAAAAATTGCTGAACGATGCTCGGAATTGTCATAAACATCGTCGATAGCGCAATCGTGAAAATGGCCCGCCGTGCGAGCCGGTTTCTGACTAAACTGGTTCGACAATTTTCTTTTATATAATAATTTTAAAAGAATTAACAACTTGATGGATCGTGGATGAGATTATCGCCGATTTTGTCAACAATTTTTTAAGCAATTTTTAACGGCCGATCTTTGATTTGAAAAGAAACCGTTTGAAAGCTACTGGCAGACAATTTTTCTGGAGCAAAATTTATTTACGCTACGCGTTTGGTTAATTGTTGAATGTCTGGCAACTGGAGGACGCAAAATTTTGTATTCGCTTGATTCATAAAAGAAACAAATAAAAATGCGGAACGTGTGTGTACGTTGCGGGTCGCGTTGCAGAATTTCAAATTGAACCGCGCGGATGGAGCCGCTCGGCTCTCGTTTGCCGTGAAATCGAGCAGAAGAAAGAGCTGCCGGCGGCAGGAAACAAATGATCCGAGATCATTGTCCCTGTGTATTTGCAGGCGACGTTGGACCCGATCGATTGTGTTTCGGCCGAGCCCTCGAAATTCTCGTATCCTCGACAGATCCCGGGTTTCTCCCAAATCCTTCAAAACCACCGAGCCGGAGACCGGAAATCATCATGTGCGACCATTGCTCGTAAGTCTTGCCTCGCCGTTTGCCGCTTCGTGGTACGACGGGATCGAATTTATTTCGACTTCCACCATTTTTATCGCAACGTATGCTTCCCTTAAGAAATTCATTCGATCGGTTCCCACGAAAGAATCTTCGCGATTCTGGCGATTTTAAAACGACGGATACGAAATATGCAAATTCCGAACTTCTTCATCCGTCCCCATAGGAAGCTAAGATGTCGGGGACCATTTTTTTTTTAAACGCGTTTCACGGTCTACGTTTGAAGTAGAATCTCTGTCGGAAAGAGTTCTTCACGATTCTTTCGGTTCTTATTTTCGACGATCGAATTCGATGGACCTATTTCTTTGGTTGCAGAAAGGTGACCAGTCAGAAGGGGTATGCGGGCCAAGTGACGTGTAAATGCGAACAGTGAGTGTACTTTCTTGCGTCTCTCCGTTTAGAAACGAAAACTTAAGTTAAGACGTCGCTCACGAGGATCCTCGCGAAGCCACTTTCCACGTAGATAACAGCAAAGTTTCTTGCGTTTCACAGCGGAGACAAGAAGAACGGCGAAGGCAAGGATAAGGACTACGGCGGATGTTGCTCCAGGAAGTACGGTTCCCCTTGATTTTTCAAGTATCCCGCTGAAGTAACAGCTTCCCTCTATCGTCCGATAAAATGGCCGATCCATTGTCTCGCGTCACTGAAATCCCATTTGGCGGAAGGCTCGAACCGTGTCGAGTTTCTCCGACACCTGTATGGCCACCGGAATCGCGTTCCCCACGGGTTAACCCGTGCACTATCGATAATTGCATCGCTGAAATCGTTTCGCTTTATTTATTGCACCGAACGTTTGTACGCGTAAACTTTGTTTCTGGCGGTCCTGCGAATCCTTTTGATAATTGAAAATGCACGGTCGACGTAGTTCCGACGATTCCGTTTCGCGGATTTCCCGGTATTTACTGGGCGCAGTAATTTCTCCCGGAAATATTCGGAGGTCGGAATTGAAGCCGGCAGATCTGAGAATACTAAGTCGCGATTTTTGAAGCTTCGTTTTGATAGAAACTCGGGGCAATCGGCTAAAAAAGGCAGCGTACATAGAGTAATGCTAGAATAAAAACGATGACTTAACTTTTTTATTTCTAATTTTTTGCCACGATTCGGAGACAATTCGGAGGCCACGTGATACGATTCGAAGGCAATTCGGAGGCCACATGCCACGATTCGACGGAGATTGGTCACGTATCTTGTAGCTCCGCGGTTTTTCTTACCCGACTCATGCCTAAACAAACCATTTTGTATCGTTTTCCTGAAATTCCCGTCGCGTGCCGCACCCCACGCTTGACGACCCTTAGCATCGATTCTCAGCAACCCGAAATTTGGCATTTCCGGGAGAAATTATCGTACTATGCAGATGAATACGTCAGAATCTCGTGAACAAGACGCATAGTTTTCTCAGCATTGTAACCTTGCCACATTTGATCCGCCGTAACGGCCAGAAACGATTCCGATCCTGAAGGGGTTAACGCGATATCTAGACAGCCAGGAGAAAGGATCCCTATCCCCGAGAGTCTCCGAAGACTAACCGTAAACGAGTATGTTCGTCGATCGAGCATTGACACGCGGGGGCGGCTCGTTTCCTCCCTTAACGCGTGCAATTAACCCGGCGACACTGAAACGCGGCGTGGCTCGGTGGTGCCGGGGGTTAATCGAGTAACTCGACTGACTGTGCAGAGAGAGAAAGACAGTGGGCGGATGTTGCGGCTCGAGCTGCTGTTCCGGGACACAGGACGAGGGCGGTTGTTGCTCGGGCGGCGCTGTACAGAAGGAAGCGAAATATTGTTGCTCGCAGGGGAAGTAGCATCCCCGAAACATCCTGACGGCAGCCTTGAAAGGGTAAACGATCACAGGACAAGCCACGGTGGCCATACGGGGGGGACGGACGATTGCGAAAACGAACACCGCAGACAATAAAAACCCGGCGACCCGCGACGTCCGAGTAGAAAAATTCCGAATAAAAGTTCCATAAATATTTCCGACAACGGAACGCGAGGAGGGCCACAAAAGGACGCCGCGACCCCACGAATCGTCTTTGGGACAAAGATTTCTCCCGGAAGAGACCTGTCCCTTCTCGAATTCAAAAGTCTCGACCCCCTCCCGCGAACGTTCCCGGAACGTTAGCTCCGTCTGTCTCGGAGACAGGACGTCGTTGGTCGGACGGAAGCGAGATTCCGCGATGCCCGACGAGACGTTTCAGCACGGGGATCGATCTTCCTTCGTCTTGCAGGGCCAGGGAGGCGGCAGGAGGCTGCTGCATGTCCGGCTGCTGCAAGGATAATAAACCGAAGCCGAAGGAAGAGGAACAAGCCCCGTCGAAATGCTGCGCCGATAGAAAATAAAACGACTACGAGAACCGTCCGAAGAACCGCTCTCTCACGATAAAAATTCAATATCTTTGTCCGATCGATGTAATCCCCATGCTTCAATAAAAAGGCATTCCCCACCAACCCTCACGAGCCACGCAAATCTCTGCTCCTCGCCTTCCTTCCGGCGAGAACTGTGTGTTTTGTAAAGCATTTATGCTCTACCATCCTGCATCCCTGAAACGAGACCAGCGATGCGAATTTCGTATGATGAAAACGTCGGTGACTATGATGAAAATTTGACTGAACTCGAAATATATGAATCTTGTACTTTTTGGTGCATTTTATTGGCCGCAAATTATAGTGGCAAGGGTTCACATTGATTTTTTTCTGGATATTCTTCGCTCTCGTTTTAGATCTTATTTTCTCACTCATGGCATAAATGGAGTTTATATATTTTATAATAGAATATAGAATATTGGTATAATAATATATATAGAATACATAATAGAATGAAAAAAACTAGGGTGAAGTAAAAATTCATTTCTTCCCATCAGCTTCAGTACATTGAAAAAAAAGATATATATATATATATATAAAAGATATATAATAATAATAAAGATATATATATATATATAATATTAGGATATTATATAATAATAATAATTATTCTATTAATTATTAATATAATAATAACATTATTATTATACATAATATAATATCATATTATTATATATAATAATAATGTTATATTATTATTTTCATCTGCCCATTTACTCCATATATGTTATAAAATCTGCAGCTACTATAATATTATTCACAATAATATAATATTATTTTCATCTGCCCATCTACTCTAGAAATGTTACAAAATCTGCAGCTACTATACACAATGATTATTATACACAACGAAGTCAAAGACATGAAGTACTCGTTGCCAACGTCAACGACAGCACACCATCGACATAAACCATCAAGCATCGCAAACCTTTTGGACAGCATCAAAATTACCGAGTACGATGTGCGACCACTGCAGGTAATCGTTTCAAAAGCTTAGATTCACCTTGACAATTAGATTCACCTAACAATTAAGCAGCGATTCGAAAAGCTTCCAAAAACAACCGTCTCGAACAGTTATACATATATCGGTTCTACGACTGTTATTCTTCGGGTTTTGAACGTCGGCTGTGTATTTCAGCGTCACCGTTCTAAATATTTCACGTAACAAGCACGTTGCATTTCCTTCAGGTATCCAAAGTACGGAGTCTATATTCAAATCGAAAATGCGTGCGACGTGATCGCATTTTCGCGATGTACCGATATAGCGATCTCGGCACCGAGGAACCGAAGCCGATATACGACGGAACCGATATACCCTATAACTTTGTTGGCTCTTCGTACCTGTTTCGACAACCGGAAGCCGATATCATAAACGTTTCGAACCGTTCGCCGTTAAGTCACACAGCAGCATCTCGACTGCTCAATTTCCCGCGATTTATTTAAAACCATAAAATAGCACCTAGCCCAAGAGAAGTTTCTACATCCTATCATACGGCCGAGAATTTCCGTTGAAATACAAGCTCCGCCAGAAAGCTCGAACGAGTGAAATGCAAAACAACTTCCTTTCAGCGCTTACAAACCCCTGTTGGAGAAACCGCCGACAGCATCGTTCTACCCGAGCCCGAGCGCCGGCCCGAGCCCGAGCTTATACGTAGGGCCACCCTCTTATACACCTGCCACGGCGTGAGTCTTTCTTTATCGCCCGGCCCCGACATTACCGCGGCCGCGTTTAACAGTACCGCCGGAGAAATTCCGTAACACGGCAGACTAAATTGCCCCGGGATCGAGACTAAACCGTCCCCGGACCCGGACTGAACCGTACGGATAACGAAATCCTCTATTTACGGCAGAGCCGTCTCCGTCGTTGACGGCGGTTGCTGCAGTTGGACGCGGGACTGTTGCGGCGGTGGTTGTTGCGCCGGGGTTCGATGCTGCATGCCTCCGGAACCTCTTCTGGACCCTGCGGGCCCTATGGAACAGAAACTGTCGAGCGGATACAGGCTGCCGCCAGCTTGCGATCAGTCGGGAATGTCTGGCTACCCTTCGATGATGGCTGCTGGTAAGTGCCGCGACTATGCTAGCGACGAATTCGCCTTTGCCGATACCTGATCGCGATCTTAACACGTTGAATGCCACGGGGGTCATTGGTGACCGGCACTTAACTTGGCGGTGACGCCATGGGGACCACCGGTGACCGACGCGCCCAAATTGATAGAAACATATATAATTTAAAACAAATGTTAATATCTAAAATTTTGTATTATCACCATCGTCAATTCGAACGGTGACTCCTGTCGCAATTAACATGTCAAACATGGCTATACACTGTAGCTTATCTATTGCAGATAATATTTCAACATTGTATGTATCACATAAAAGAAAATTCATCGTGGCGCCACGGACAATTTCTGAAAAACCGGCGTGGCATTCAACGTGTTAAATGTCATCGATGATATTCTATCTACAGTAATGTTTCCCTAATTGACGCTCAGATTGTCCGCAAAAATGGACAATTTGGGAAGAAGAGACACGATTACTCGAGCCTTGCGGTTTGTCTTTACAGTTACGAATTGTCAACAGTTACATAAACATGCCGCAAGGCTCGAATAATCGTATCTCCTCTTCCCAAATTGATCATTTTTGTGCGCAATCTGAGCGTCAGTTAGGGAGACATTACTGTAATTGGCCGGTCGCCTTCGGTGCTGTCGAGGTCGTCTTAAATTCTCTCCCGGAAGATGCGGGATGTTTTGATCTCGTTAATTTTTATTATCACATAAATTACGAATGTATAGCATAGAACCAAACTGTTCGACGAGATCGACTCGTTTCTCATTTCAACGAGATTAAAATACGATTATTCGAGCCTTGCGGCTCATTTTTATAGTTATTGACAATCGACGATTATAAAAACGAGCTGCAGGGCTTGTATAATCGTATCTTCTCCTCCTAAATTGTCCATTTTTGTCTACAAGCTGAGGGACAATTGAAGAGAATTTACTGTACTAGAAAATCGCAAATAACAGTATCTTCTTCTCTCAAATTGTCCATTTTTGTTTACAAGCTTAGGGACAATTGGAGAGAATTTATTGCACTCAAAGATCACAAATAGTAGTATCTCCTTCTTTCAAATTGTCCATTTTTGCTTACAAGCTGAGGGACAATTGGAGAGAATTTATTGCACTCAAAGATCACAAATAGTAGTATCTCCTTCTTTCAAATTGTCCATTTTTGCTTACAAGCTGAGGGACAATTGGAGAGAATTTATTGCACTCAAAGATCACAAATAGTAGTATCTCCTTCTTTCAAATTGTCTATTTTTGTTTACAAGCTGAGGGACAATTGGAGAGAATTTACTGCATTCAAAGATCACAAATAACAATATCTCTTCCTCCCAAATTGTTCACTTTTGTCTACAGGCTGAGAGACAATTGGAGAGAATTTACTGCACTCAAAGATCACAAATAATAGTATTTTTTCCTCCCAAATTGTCCATTTTTGTCTACAAGCTGAGGGACAATTGGAGAGAATTTACTGCACTCAAAGATCGCAAATAATAGTATCTCTTTCTCTCAAATTGTCCATTTTTGTGCACAATCTGAGCGTCAATTAGGGAGACATTACTGTAATTGGCGAGTCGCCTTCGGTGCTATCGAGGTCGTCTTAAATTCTCCCCCGGAAGATGCGGGATGTTTTGATCTCGTTAAAGGGTTTTAACGGGGACCGCCCAAGGTTCGTTTAAGGGAAATTTACTAGTTCCTGCTGTTATCGGTTTTTGATCAGTTTTGAAATTGACGCATCGCTGCGTTCGATTTCGCGTATTCGTGGAACACGAATTCTTGATTCGTCTGTTAGAAACTCACGCGGCTTGTTGCGTTATTATCGACGCAAGAGTGACAATTAAAAAAGGAAAATCGATTGTTCTTAGTTTGCACATCGTCTATTTTGGACAGTTCGATCGAATAGAAGCAAGCGTATGAAAATCCGTTCGCTTTTGACAATTTTTCTTGGCATTATGTTATCGCCACCGACGGATAAGTAATTAATTAGCGATCTCATTATTACATTAACGGGCATCTAATTAAAATGAATATTCTGACAGCCACGTTGAAGCGTGTAACGAGTCCGCCGGGGCCTACATTTTTCCCCAGAGTTTTACGGAACTGTTGAAAACCGGCATTACCGAAAATTGTTCCCGGCAATCTTGTTCGTTCGGGAACTTTCGCCCGCTATTATTCAATCTCAGTACGCCGCGGCGTAATTTGAATTTTGTGAAGCCGGCCATTACTTGCTCGAAATTTTGGAATTTTCGGCTCTCTATTAAATTACGGAGTTCGGTCGCGCGCACGTTGGGCCAAATAACCGTGCAACGTTAGCCGCCGAAAATGCGGCGCGTTCGTCGCCGTTTTATTAGCGTCGTCGTGCTGTCTTTTTTTTGTTCGCGCCGGTATTAACGCGATCATTTTGTTGTACCGAAATTTCCGATATACCGGGTAAAATAATATTTCTATTCACGAAGTTAGCAAGAGCACAAATAATCCGTTATATATGGGAACCCTATTAGACAACGGTCCGCTTATTTTTATTCTTTATCAAAAAAAAAAAAAATTCTCCCGTCGACCGCGAACTCTCCCGTTCGTCCGACCTTTTCCTCTTTTTTTTTTTACGTCCTCAGAAACCCGCCTTAATCGGGAGAAAAATTAGTTTCACAATTCCCTTCGCGCGCGGCAGAACGAAGTTTGCCCGGTAAGGGCGCGAAGATGGGATCGAATGGCCGCGGGAAACGAATTAATTCGCGCGAAAAGAACCGCCGACGCACCGGTGTTAATCTAAACGAGGTTTTAAAGCAACCCGTTCGAGCACGTTGCCCGACGGGCTAACGAGATTACGCGAGTTATCGCGGTGTTAATTACGCGGCAAGTCGTTTGCGCGTTAAGGGCCCGGAATTGATTTACAATAAGTTGGAGTTATAGTCGCCGGGGAAGTCGAACCGGACGCGCGGCGTCGTTTTATCCGTGCGTGTACTTTCCATTTCGACCTGCTGACAAACAGTCAGTCAACGAAACCCGAGACAATTTCCCAACTCGACGATTTCGAGACGCCGCGAAGAAGATTGAAACTTCCGTCCGAGTCCCTTATTATATCTTTCCTTGAATTCGTATTTCCCCTTTCGCTCGCTTCAATGGCACGGCGACGGTTCTTCTACCGTTCTCATGTTCGTCTTGTCTTCAAAGTTTCGTGTTTCATTTACTGACGCGCGCGATTCGCGAATCCCAAACGAACACTTCCACTACAACGTAATGGAACGCATTCGTGGCGACTGTAATGTTATTTTTACATTAACTTGATGGGCACTCTTGCGCTCTGTTCTGATATTTCTGTTCATACGTTTTAATATCGCTAGCGCGGTAACGCGACGACAAATTGACTCTGTGTCAATAATGGTTACGGTACCATTCCACAATAATACGATGTCAATACGAAATTCTAGAAAATCTTTTTACGAACACTGTACGAATGAAACGAATGCGTTTCCAATGGAGAAATAAATCTTATAGATGTAGTTTATAACCATGCTTTTACCTGCAAGAAACGTTTATTTAATGATATAAAATTCTATTCATTTCTAATGGAGAAATACTTTTCATAGATGTAGTTTATAATGATGTCTTTAATTGGAAGAAACGTTTATTAAATGATATAAAATTCTAGGCAATTTTCGTTATGAATACTGCAAAAATGCTAGACATCTATTTTTAATGGAGAAAAACATTTCATAGATGTAGTTTATAACGATGTCATTAATTGGAAGAAACGTTTATGAAATGATATAAAATTCTAGACAATTTTACGAGTCAATTCGACTCGAAGTCACTACTATTAGCGCTACTGAGTCAATTTGACGTACATCATCGCCAGTGTTAAGAGTCAATTTGACGTATATACATATATATACGATTAATAAAATATTGCAATCAAAAGTTGATCAAAAAGCAAACGATATAGCGAACTATAGCGAACAATAGCGAACTATTATCACTGCTGCGCACTTGCTTATGAAACTATTATCAAATCACGTCAGACGACCGTGGAGAATTTCGGGAAGAACCTGCTATTCCCACGGTTCGCATTCCCCGGCATTTTATGCGAACCCGCACGTACCGGCAACGCTTTTTTCAGGCTCCAGGCGCGAGGAGGATTTCAGGGTGCAGTGCGTCAGCACGAAGAAGGAAGAGCCTCAGCTGCCTAAGTGTTTCGGAGGTGACTGCCAAGATTCCGAGGAATGCGAGAACGATGTAGCCGCCGCCGGGCCGAAGCAATCGCACGGATAGGAGCGATCCAGAGGGGGTGTCGAGGACGAAACGTGACGAGACGGGGCGAGCCGAGGGCGAGACGGCGCGGGGGGACGAGAGACGGAAAGTGCACGGACGCGTTTTCGTCGCGTCAACAGCTCCGAAATACCCGAGTGACTCCCTTAAACTCGCCGGGGTGTGCACGCGATCGATCATCCGCTCTCTCCCCGGGAATCACGGAAGAGCCACGCTCGATAATCTCTGTCCCAATCCTCGTGCTTCCGTTCGCCGCGTAATTTGCCGAACGATTAAAGCACCGTCGCCGCGGCTCTATCGTACAGCATTCTTCGCCGATTGAAAAATGTTCGATCCGAACACCCGAAACCCTTCCGACGCGTTCTCCCGGCCCCGCATACTTCCGGGACGCAAACTAATCTCGCGTGCAGCGTTCCGCCGCGCCAATTCGCACTTATCCGACTCGTGTTTAATTCCATCTGTGTAAGCCGCTTTTAATAAAGTATCCCGGTGACCGATGATTCGACTGTTTTTGTAAAACGCGGACTAAGCGAAAGAGTTTCTGCTTTACGAGATCGTAAAGATCCGGATACGTTCGGACAGTTTAGGCGACGATTGAATTGCAGATCGCTATGCAAATGCAGTGGCAGCTGCACATTTTATTTTAGCGGACCGCAGATTTTTATCGCAACCTTTATAATTCTCCTTATTTTCGGCAGATTAACAGTCGCGGGGCTCGGGACCCACGGTATTAGTTCTGTTGTTTAACTGTTTAATTTCTGACAATTAATTAAAATTAATTTATATTATATATTATAATATTTATAATATATATTATTATATTATAATATTATATATTATAATTTATTATAATATTTTAATTTAAATTTCACATGCTTCGTTAGCGTCTATGGAAAGACTAGAAAAATACGTTAAAATGATAAATATTATAATATTTATAATATATATTATTATTATATTATAATATTACATATTATAATTTATTATAATATTTTAATTTAAATTTCACATGCTTCGTTAGCGTCTATGGAAAGACTAGAAAAATACGTTAAAATGATAAATATTATAATATTTATAATATATATATTATTATTATATTATAATATTACATATTACAATTTATTATAATATTTTAATTTAAATTTCACATGCTTCGTCAGCGTCTATGGAAAGACTAGAAAAATACGTTAAAATGATAAATGAAATTTATAATTAAATTTATAATTAATTTATAATTAAATTAATAAATCGAAATTATTACATTTTGATCACAAAGGTCCGCCATTCGGGGGTCAACGATTTCAGTGATTTTCCCAAAGAGCAACGAATTTTTTTCCCGCTCTGGCGCAGCCTCGCGCAAGACCTTGACACGTCGAATAAAATTTCGTGCTATTCGATCGCCCGAGGGAACTTACGTTCGCACTCTCTGGCGCAACACTCTTAAATCAAAGGCTTTACTTCGCGCCCCATTCATGAATCGTTATTTTTACGCCGGTTCTTATTGGCTCGGTGTCGTTGTTCCCATAGGTTTCGCGCGCGTCCGGCAACCGGCGGCTAAAACGTTTATTATCCAGCTTATAAGACACGGGCATCCGAGCCGCATCTCCCACTCGTCTCGTTCGCTGTCAATATTCTTCGCTTTTATCGTCCGCGAGGGAATCGTCAGCCAGTAAAATTGCCTCGAGCTAACGCCCACCCTCTCTACAAGCACTTTGCGGGGAGCTGGTCTACGCGCAATACGCGGCTGTGAACGTGATTCGCCGGAGACCCCTGTGTCTAACCATCCGAGAACGAAGACGAACGATTGCGGTTTAATTCCGAGCGTTTACCTAGCCCCGGAAAAGGACAAAATCTCGCGAAGGTGAAACGTAAGCGATCCGGAACGATGAATCATCGCGCGGACGGCGGCTGTTAGCGGCGCATCCAGTTGAATCGCGAATCGCCGCATTGAGATCTCGCGGAGAGCCAATAGTTTAATCAACGAGACCTCGAGTCATTATTAAATTGTGCACGGCGGAATGTTCCATAGCGAAAATTCGTTTTTAGAATAAATACATATAATGTGTCTATCGACATGCATCGGAGACGATTTTAATTACTGGAATTGCGTACAAAATTGGCTAATTATGTCCGTCACGACAGAGGCTCATTTTTGAATATTTAATTTTGAACCTGGACTCGTCGAATGGTTTCCACTAGAAGCGTGTGATTAAATCGGGACACAAAATCGTACGCACTTAAATGCGCCGTGATAAAAATGCACCGCTGACACGCTGCACGAAACATTGTCTAGAGATAAAAACGCATCTATAATCAGTACGAAGAATTGTGACTGTTTAAATCACAGTGAATTGTGAAACAATTCTGTCTGCTCGAAAGCAGTGGGAATAAAACTGAATTCGTACGGCGGACCAATGAGCGGTGTCCACTTGAATGTGTCGCAATGAAGTAGTGAATATTCGAAAAAATATTCGGAGAAATGCTTTGTTCGAGCATGCTAAAGTGAATGTAAATTTCTAAACGAATAATTGCGAGAGGTATGAACAGCAGCGGCAGTCAAGTATTAATCACGGCGGTCGGTATCGTCGCCGGCGCGATTAAGGGTTCCGTTGGCAGCAGCGTCGAAGGGCGTTCCGATGAGGCGTTAACGAGGATCCGGATTCGATATCCCCGGATGCGTGCAATAAATTCCGTCAGGAAACTTCTAACGAGGCAAATAGCCGTGTAAGGGATCAAGCCGACGTAAAACTGTCGTAACGGCGTATCGTAAACCAGTGGGCGGATGATAATTGCGCCGACGGATCGTCGGAGGAACGCTGCGCGACCATGAGTGAAGAGGAAACGGCCGAACTTTTCCGTCTCGTCTCCGCGTCTTTCGCTTTCCTTTCCTCCTTTTTATTGCCCGGAGAGAAAAAAAGGAGCTGCGGCCACCACGGGACAAGAAGGGTTCGCGATAAACAACCGTCCTTTCGGGCCGGTTAACGATGCCAGAATTAATTACCGAGCTTCGCCCGCTTCGGCGTTTCGCTCGGCTGACGTTACACAGTTGGTAGAAACGACCCGGCGACCATCAAACGTCTGTAACTTTGCTGCCGCTTTATGTACTTTAATGAATCTTTGAGAACCTTCGTTATTGTTATGCAATCTTCGTATTCTATTAACTTCAGCCAATGTGCACAATTTCCTGCAGTTCTCGGCGACATTACCGTCGCCGGAGTTTATTATAGTTTCAACGAATGTTTGTAGAACTCGAAGGCAAATTGTTTTATAATTATCCAGCAAATATTTGCTCGTGAAAATAATGGTTTCTAAAAATTAACCTGTTGCAATCTCTTTGGAAAGTTTGTAAGTTGCGGTAATCGTACTGTATACAGGATGTTACATAATTATGTTAACATACGGAAATAGGTGATTCTTGAGGTCATTTGAAGTAACTTTTTCCTTTACAAAAATTTTCTCTAAGGCATCGTTCACGAGTTATTAACGAAAAACACTGACCAATGAGAGGCGAGATCAGTTGACGCGTGGTGGCCGGGCCAATGGGCGGAACTGTGCTTCGCTTGCTCGTTGGCTCGGCCGCCTCGCGCCAGCCGAGGACGCCTCTGATTGGTTAGTGTTTTTCGTTGATAACTCGTAAACGAAGCCGCGGATCGCATTTTCGCTAAGGGAAAAGTTAGTTCAAATGACCTCAGGAATCACCTTGTATGTGTTAACATAATTATGAAATACTCTGTATATTTCTTCGTATTTTGTTCAAATATAAAAATAATATAACAATATAACATATTAATATAATAAACATACAAATAAAAAATGTTGCAATTTCTTCAGAACGAGTATACTCGTCAAAAATAGTTAACTCGTTAAAGAACTATAAGTATTATCAATGTCACTTGTGATTCTTTGCTACGTGCAAGCATCGGTAGCAAGAAAACGAATGCGAATACCGTAGAACGAAGTTCACTATATTCGAGTTAAATTCACTCCCTCTTTTTCTGTATCTCGTAACCCTAATTTCGTTTTAAACAGATCGTTTGGTCCCATTGCGCGACGTCTCGATTCACGCGGTCCATTCATCAAACGGCGAGAGTGTCTCGGCCGATCCGAAACTGGGCCGAACTGCTGTGACGATCGTATACTTTGCAAAGACATCCCCTAATTTGCATGGGCTGCGACGTCGGGGTGTCTGGGACAACCCCTGTGTCCCCGAGGTCGTGAAACCTGCGTCGCAGCACCCCTTGTTTCGCAGCCCCCTAACGATATTAAGGATTTCTTGCCGTCAAATCATGCAAAAATAGATCCTCTTCAAGAATTTATTACGGTGAAACGGGACGGCACGGAGCAGGGAACGCTTTCGCGATGTAATCGGGCATGTTTCAACGTCCTGGTCTAATTTTTGCACGCTGTGTATAATGAATGATAAAGAACATGGAAATGATTAGATCGCAGAAAGGATTGTTCGCTCTTCTACTGATAAACTGTTCGCGGAAAAGAATAATGTTACGTTTTAGTTCGGACGTGTTCCCGGCCGATGCGTTTCTCTCATATGTAAAATTAGGTGCATTATTTATGAAGCGCCACCATTTGCCACGATACCGTTGCGTGAGAACACGGGTAGCTCTACAAATAGCGGTGCTTGGAATTTTACGCGTTCGTAATAAAACCGAGTAACTTGCGATTTACTCGTTTAGGAACCGGAATAATTTGTCGGGTGATTCGTAGATTAACAAGCGGGACGATTGCAACAATCGAACCAAAGAAATCCCCGCTCCTCGCGACAGACGCGAACATTCTCATTTTGCATAGAGTTCTGCAGACTGTGGATGGTGATTGATTGGAGCCGTGAACACGCAACAGTGGGCGCTCCAATGTGCCGGTTTATTGCCTCTCGTCCCAGGCTTGTCTCCTCCGTGACGCAGAAAAGTAGTCTGCCAGGGATAAGAAGCGATTCAATATTGAAGAGCCCGGACGGATTCGAAAGTAGCCGGAGCACCGATCAGCCTCCCCGAAATCCTCGAAAAAACGACTCAACTATCGCCGCAGCCCTCGAGGCTTTAGCCACCCGGCTTCCACGTGCCCCGAAATCGCGGCAAAGATAATCTATTCGAAACTGTTCGAACAGCTTCGATCCACGAACGTGGGAATTTACAGTCGGCGATTAGAGAGAGCGAGAGAGCGAGAGAGGCCGCGAGCAGCAATAAAGCGGAAAACGTTCACCTTTAATGAATCGGAAAGGAATTCCCGGCCGAGCAGACAACGTGTTCGACCCTATGGGGTGAAAACGACATTAGCCAGGAGAACGAACGAGTACTGCCGCCGCGCCGTGTTCGGGAATTCTGCCTTGTCCCTCTGTTCGCTGGCCAGTTCTATTTAATCCCTCCGTGGAAAACACGAAACGAGGGCGGAAGTGGACCTTATGCCCGTAACCCAGAACCCGAATTGGGTTGTAGGTCGCGCGGAACATTGGTACTTTGGGTAATATACGTCGGCGACTGTGTCGATGGTTCACCGATCCGGAGTCTACTGACCGTTGTGCGAGATCGACGTTTTCAATAGCCGGGAACGGAAAATGGTGAATCAAATGGTCTTTAACTAACTGGCCGAAGGGACGAAGAAACGAAAGTTTGACACTGCTTGGTCGCTTGAAGGCTGGTCTGGATTTAAAAGTCGAACATATTATTTCAGTAGCAATTGCTACGTCTGAGAAATCAAGTACTTCATCTAACTGTTCAACTATTGGTCTAGGAATGTCTTTTAACGGCATTCCCTTTGAAGTGTAGGATAAATATACAGTTAAAAGATGACATCAATTTTATGAACGTACGGATTTCAATCTTTCTGTTAGCTGATACTAGTGCAAACTTAAGAGACACTTCCTCTTGAGTAATCACAGTCGAACCACCGTGAGGTCTCAGTATATAACATCATGCTGCTTCTAGTCTTGCCGCCATTATTCTATGAACATCGTTGAAAGATTTCTCCCTAGAAAACTAGGGAAAGAGAAGCTAAAAGGCAAAATCAATTTTATGAACATTGCGAGTTCAATCTTTCTATCAGCTGATACTAATCGAAACTTAGAGCCACTTTATTTTGAGTAATGTCAGTAGAACCATCATGGCGTTTCAATAGAAAACAACTTTATGCTGCTTCTAGTCTTGCCGTCATTATTCCAGGAACATCGTTGAAATATTTCTCCCAAGAAAACTAGGGAAAGGGAAGCTAAAAGACAAAATCAATTTTATGAACATAGCGAGTTCAATCTTTCTATCAGCTGATACTAATCGAAACTCAGGGACATTTTCTTTTGAGTAATGTCAGTAGAACCATCATGGGGTTTCAATAGAAAACAACCTCATGCCTCTTCTAGTCTTGCCGTCACTATTCCAAAAACATCGTTGAAAGATTTCTCCCAAGAAAACTAGGGAAAGGGAAGCTAAAAGATAAAATCAATTTTATGAACATAGCGAGTTCAATATTTCTATCAGCTGATACTAATTGAAACTCAGGGACACTTTCTTTTAAATAATAACAGTGGAACCATCATGGCGTTTCAACAAAACACAACCTCATGCTTCCAGAAATCTCCCTTTCTTGTATCTAAGAAGATTCCTTCCGCGGAAAATAAAAGGAAGCCGGCTAAGAGACAAAGAAGATTTCACGATCGTTCAAAGTCTAGTCTTTTCTAGCACTAATCCAGCCTCGACAGCCAACTAAAAAGAGCACCCAGTTGGAGTATTACGATCCAGGAATGTCCCAGGAAGAACGCTGTTACGTTGGAAGTAGCGAAGTAGCAAAAAGCCGGAGGCTGAGAGGCAGCGAGCCTAACTGCGACAAAGAGGAGGCCGGCGCGTTGGTACAGAAAAAGAGCAAACAATCGGCGACGGTGTGCAAGCGTCGTCGAGCTTGAACAGGCGATCGCTTGCGCACGATCCCGCGCTCGAGGTGCGTGTGGACGTCGGAAGGGCGTCGCGGCGCGAGGCGCGGCAAGGCGAGGGTGCCGTTTGCCGTTGAATGGGGAGCGCACGCGCCACGGGTAACAGAGGTTTGGGGCCACGCGGCGGCACCAGTCGCTCCTCTCAAACCGCGAAACACGTCCCGGCGTCCTCGAGGACCAGAATCGCGAGACTCCAGCGCTCTCTCTCTCTCTCTTCTTCCTTCCGACTCCGTTTCTCGCGCTCTCTCTGTTTCTCCCTGTCCCGGCGTCGCGCTGTCCCCGTCGCTGCGAGTCGCGTGTGCATTTACCGGAAATCGGTAAACCGACCCCCGTGAACCACCCCCGAGCCAACAGTTCCGCAGTTCTATCCGCGAGAAACTGCCAGAGGATGGCTGACGATTGACAGAGCGTGTTCTGCTCGACGAGATTCGTGGCGACCTTGAGAGCCCTGCAACCGGAAGCGGCGTGCACCGGCGTCGTCGCGCGCTTTTCGCTGCTGGTGTCCTTCGAACGATCCGACAGAGGATCATCCTCGCGCAAAGCCGAAGGCGTCCGCACCTTCGTGGTGGACTTTCGGAAAGCCGGCGTTCCCGCAGGAACCCGGGAAACGCGGCCGCAGTGTCGCCGTCGAAGGATCCTCGGGATTAACTCGAAGGATTAGCCGCTGGTACCTAAGATCCGCTGGTCCCGGGACGTTGTGCAAAGTTTGCCCTCGAATGCCAGGGACGCGCGCCGAGAGGGCAGTTAGTGTTCCGCCGATAATCGCGGCTAAATCGATGGGCCCGCGATTAGGCTAGTTAGAGCGTCCGGAGATCGCGGACGACCTTCGAGGAAGCTGCAGGCGGGATTAAGTGAAGTTGGCTCGTGCCGGGTATATACAGGCGGGTCTGTTTGTTGTCCGTGAACCGAGCAGTTTCGAAATGAAACGATAGCTCCGGGCAATTAAGGAACACAATTTTTTAGGATTTTAACGTTCTCTCGGCTCTATTTCCGCGTTTTGGCCCGCGCGATCTTTGGTAATCTTCTCCGGTGGCCGTCTCAAAACGGGCCTCCGCAAGGTCTTAAGACATCCTGGATTCTGTCTGTGCGATTTGCTGACGAGTTCGCTAGGCAACTCTTAAGTCCGCCTTCCATATAAGATCTTCGGCACTTGTCGGCTCTATTTATACAGTTTCGACTCATCGTCTCGGATAATCTTCTCCGATACCACGCTCGACGCACCTCAAAGCGTCTTCGGGATGTCTTGGAACATCCTCGGATCTGTCTACGAGATATTCGCTCCGAGTTCAGCCGGTGGGGCTCCTCGCGCAGTTCCTCCCCGACGCATGCCGACCTCGCTCCGTCGATCCGCCTCGAAGTTAGGATCTCGCGAGATCCGCCATCGTCGATCCCAGGGTTCTCGATCAATTAAAAGTTTTTCGCGGAATCCCGGCGTCTTCGCTCGTTACGGTTCCGCAGCCGAGGCGGCGAGCCGAGGATTTGTCCCCAGGGGAAACCGATAAATGGATTGAACGCTCTTCCGGCGGAGCTCCTTTCGAAAGGTAAATGCCGGCCCGACTCGAACGCTCCAGTCCTCTTTGCTACCGTCCAATTAGCTCCTGGATCCAGGTGGTCTCTCGCGGCCCCGATCGATCGCGATCCGCCTCTGGAGACCAGACCTCTTCGACTCCTTTCGGAGAACCCGCTTCTCGAAACCCGGCTCTATTTACTCTGGTGAGGCAATAGTGACCCTGCGCCAGGTCTAGGAACCCATTTGCGACAAAGAATCCCGAGCAGGCGGCGGGATGTCGCCCTCAAACGTCGACCGTCCTCCTACGTTGCCGACGCGCTCCAAATTGCTAACCGAATCTCGATAGACCCTACTACACCTTCGCCAAGTCCCTGTAGACATTTCTGACGGTTCAAGAAATGGAACCAGGCGATATCTTCGTTTTGGATGGCGCGACACAGCTTCTAGCGCCGATGCGCTTCGACTCATCAGTCGAATCTCTTCGGAAAATATTTCTGCCTCTTTGAAGACTTTTAGCAGACGGCGATTTCGCTTCGGACGAGGCAACGAAGCTTCCGGAGCTGACGTGTGCTTCGAATTAAGAATTAACCGTAGAATCAGTCGGGAGGATAGACTCGCCTCTTCATCGTCTCTCCGCGAACATCTTCCGATGGTTTCACGGTTGGTACCAGCCGGTGTTTTCGTTCCGGATGATGCAACGCAGCTTCCGGAGCCGATGCGCTTCGATTTACTAGATCGATCTCGTTAGAGAGGGTATTTCTAGCTCTTTTTAATACCTCTCCTGCTGTTTTAAGACTTGGCACCAGCCGGTGTTTCTGCTTTGAACGATGCAACAGAGTTTCTCGCGCTGACGAGCCTCGAATCGAGCACCCACAGTAGAATCGGCTAGGAGGATAGGCCCACCACCCTCTTCATCATCCTTCCGCGATCTTTCTCCCGGCGTTTTCGCACTCGGTGCCAGGTCGTGTTTCCGCTTCGAACCACGCAACGCAGCTTCCAACGCGTTTCGAATCAACAATGGAATCGCCTATCCGCTTCGTCATTCCTCTATAAATCTTTCCTTGGGTGTTCGACACCCAGACCAAGACGGTTGTCTTCGTTCCGTACGCCGCTTCCAGGGCAAGCGCGCTCCGAACTGCCGAATCTCGTCGAAGTACGCTCTTCTTCGTCATCCTCCTCCTCGACGTCGCGAAACCTTCTCTATAAATCTCCGTCGACGTTTTCGTTTTCGAGTTGCTACTTCCGTTGCGTTCCGAGGGAAACCAGTGTTCCGTGACGCAGGCCATTGTTCGTTCGAAGGGGGCACAGGCGCCAGGGACACGTCGAGGGAACGGCGGCCCATGGGATAGAGGAGCGTGAACCGCGGAGGACCAACGGGAGAAGTGTCTTCGGTGTCGTCGATCCTGTGCTGGTTTTTTTCCCCTCCCCCCGAAAGGACCTCGAATTTTCATACCAAGGGACGAGGGACCATTTTGGATCAGTGGTTCGCGTGGTTCCGATCGGTTTTGCATCGGTGTTCGCGACGGATTACCGGACGGACGGTGTTAATCGAGGATCATCTGTCGGCTCGGCCAGTGCTTCCGCGACCGTCACACACTCACTCTCTCTCTCTCTCTCTCTCTTTCTTTCTCTCTTTCTCTCTCTCTCTCTCTCTCTCTCTCTCTGTGCTAAGTAAATATACGCTGTTGAATTGGAGCGCGGATCCGCGGCGGATCCTACGGCGATTAGTCCGCCGTTGAATTATTTTCCGGTTTAATTGTGCGTCCTTAATTGAACCCTGCGGAACGATAAATCCCAGCCACCGGCCGCCGTGAGGCAACGCCGGACCCAACACCGGACAACGGACCTTTCAGGTAACGTTTAAACGAGACCCTACGTTTTATTGTCCACTTTCCCATTCCGCTTTCCAGTGATTCACTTTGTCTCTGCAATTAGACGTGCAGGATTCCGAAAGGACTCGGGCTGCAAAACGCTGCTTCCGGCGCGACGGCGTTTTCTGTTGCAACACATGGCACTCAAATTTGGGGCATTTAGCGGGCTCGCAATTAGCATTTCAGTCGCGCGAAATTGCAGGGACGAGTCTTCATGCTGTTTCCGAAACCTTGCGGATCTCTTCCGCGGAATCGAGAAACTGCGACGGAGAATACTTTCCCGCGAGACTATCCTTGGAGCGATCCGAAGGTGATCAATAGACTGCGGATCTTTATGGAACATAAAACTTGTCTGCGTCGATCGCGGAACGTAGGAACGGAGTGTAATTCGTTTTCTTCTTTCGGTAATTTTGATAAGTTGAAATTTATGTATCTCTCCACAATCTCAGTTTCTTTCAACATTTTCGATATTTTGAAAATCAATGTTTGCCGTATGCGCATAAAACCCGCAGTCGAGCTATCAAAAGTGTTCTTAGCAGGTCCCTGGACATTTTCGGTTCTCGATAAAGCGAATCCCAACCGCACGAATGTGTCTGTTCGCGTAACTTTAAAATCTATTCTCCGCTGCACCTTTGAACTCCGTACAGAATCGAAAGAAACGTTCCGCATTAATTTAACGACGCAGAGACTCGTTATCTGTGCTATCGGCTGCTACAGTTCTTTCATTCTCTCTCTCTCTCTCTCTCTCTCGCTCTCTCTAATTTCCCACCTTTCGAGGCTTTCTCGCTCGCAACAACGTGTTCCCCGGTTTTCGGGGTGTTCCCAGATTCGCGGCACGTTCGGCCGGTTCGTGATCGAGGATCGTTCCGCCTCGCGTGATTATGACCGGTTAGGGGATCATGCGAATGGTCGAAGGGTGGGCCTAGCACCGTGGCGTGTCGTTCACCCCGTGTCGACTGTCACAGCCCGAGATCGTTCGTTTCGATAAGTCGCATTCCTTTCTATTAGCGGCGCCCGGACTTTTCTTTCGGCGAAACGGGGATGTATCGGGGCGCGAATTGATTAGTTTCCTGGATCCCGGGGTTTATTGGTAGCTAGGGCGGAAGTTTCGTCATTTCGTTCGGTCACGCTTGAATTTGGCCGTAAATTAACTAATATTGACGAATTAGTGCTGGGAGAGTCAATCAGCTAATATTATTTCTCTTTGCGTTTCGTTGTCGATTGAAACGCGAGGTTTGAAATTGGAAAGCTTATTTGTACATTCGACGACGAATCAGGAGCGAATCCGCTAATTACTTGCTTGCGTTTAACGATAAATTAGGTCGTAGATCGGGCGACATCATCTGTCTGAATTAGATGACTGATCGGGAGCAAATCTACTAATTATTTACTTACGTTCAACGACAAATTAGAGATAGAGAGAGTCAATCAGCTAATATTATTTCTTTGCGTTTCATTGTCGATAGGGACGCGAGGTTTGAAATTGGAAAGTTTGTTTGTACATTCAACGACGAATCAGGAGCAAATCTACTAATTATTTACTTACGTTTAACGACAAATTAGAGATAGAGAGAGTCAATCAGTTAATATTATTTCTCTGCGTTTCGTTGTCGATTGTAACGCGAAGTTCCACATTGGAAAGTTTATTTGTACATTTAACGACGAATCAGGAGCGAAACCGTTAATTACTTGCTTGCATTTAACGATAAATTAGGACGTAGATCGGGCGACATTATCCATCTGAATTAGATAACCAATGAGGAGCAAATCTACTAATTATTTACTTACAACTATCGACAAATTAGAACGTTGGTCCGCCGACATGATCCCTTCGAATCGCATGATTAATCAGGAGCAAATCTACTAATTATTTACTTGTATTTAACGATAAATTAGGACGTCAGCCTGCTGACACTGGTTGTCCGCGTTCGATGACAAATGAGCAGGAAACCTAGCAGCATCATTTTTACTCGACTACCAAAAACATAGCTGTATCAATTGTACGTACCTGACCGTAAATTAGCGCGGAACAAACATAAATAAAATCATAAATCTAACGGTATACAATGAGCCCGTGTTCCGGCCGCACCAGAGGTGTCCTAATAAGAAAAGTAGATTTATGTTATAATTTCCTACAATTACGGGCTCCCGTTTTATTGCGCAAGAGCTCCCTGGTCGAATGTTTCTGTTTCGCGTGCATGATGAATGCATACCTATCTCCACACAACAGCGAACACATCCGCGAGGAGCGGCGCATCGTTAATTAAGGTTTATCTGAAAATTAGCCCTTCGAGTCGAAGTCCGCGAGTCACCGGATACTCGACTGTCTCCAACTGGAGGGAAATTCTGATAGTGAGAGAGAGAGAGCGAGAGAGAGAGAGAGAGAGAGAGAGAGAGGGGTGGGAGAGAGAGGTAGAATTTATTCGAAACGATCTTGCTACCTTGTTCCCTGGCTGCCGAGAGATAGTCACTTGGGATATCTGTACACCGACTCGCAATGTTTAGTCGTTCATAATTTACGGTGCTCGCTGTCGCGGAAAAACAAACGTCGCGCGTAGATCGTTATCCGACGCGCTTAGCTTTACAATTTCTGCTCGGCTATTACGGTTATCGCGCTGCACGATACTTGGCTAGGAACTATTGTTTCCGCAGCCATCATTATCAGTTCGACCGCGCAAAAATCACGGTAGAACTGTACGCCAATTTGCAGGATCATTTGTCTCGCCGGAGCCAGCGACTCCGGTGCTTTTCTCGACCGGTGACTTATCGACCACCTAAAAATCACGGCGAAACCGGAAACCAATTTGTAAGATAATTTATTTTGCTGGTCGATGACAGCGGGATTGAGGAAATACGTTCCGCTCCTCGTAAACATTTCCGAGGTCTTGGAATCAGGAAATTATTTTCCGACGGTTTAGAATCAGGAAATTATTTTCCGAGGAAAATATGCGACATAATCGGATCGCTCCGGTTGCGTCGCGCGGACTGGCTTTCGAAAACGAAAGGAAATAGAGAGAGAGAGAGAGAGAGGGGGGGGGGGGGGGGGCGGGCGGT